TATGTTCTATGACTCAAGCATGTGATGTCTTCAGGCATACGGTATTACCATCAAATTCTGGACCATAACCAAGAGCATTGTTAATAGCCTATAATGTTAGAGGTCTATGAACCCTCCTTTACCAAAAACTCCAAAAGACTTAACCCATTCCTGACAGTGGATTTGGTTTTTGTTTGTTTGTTTGTGTTTTTCTTTTGCTTTTTATTTATTATGCTGCCATGAGTAGCAGGGGCATTGTTGCCCCCAATGAAGGCCAAATCCATTTAACATTTCATATGTGTGTTTGTATGTGTTTTAGAAAGCTTCTATAGTAGTCAGTTTCCAAATGACTAGTTCAAAGTATCATTAGTGTTAGTAATCGCTTCCTGTATTCCGTTCTCTACCCCGCCCTCCCATCACTGCCCCCATCCTTGTCCCCATCCTCGCTTCCACTCGCGTCCTTGCTCCCCTCCCCCGTCTCCATTTCTATCCCTGTTTAACTCAGCTTCCTTTTTATCTTCCCATTCTGGAAACATTCCGACATCTTAGGAAAGTGTTTTATCACATAGAAATCATTTACGTTTTAAACACCTTCATTCTCACATCCTTCTAACATCATTTTCCTACTTACCAGCTTTATCTTATTTTGTTACTTATACCATGAAACATAGCAACATTAATAAATTTATCATCTGCTGTGAGTTGGGTTTTTTTTTTTTTGGTTTTTTTGTTTTGTTTTGTTTTTGTGGGTGCAAAGTAATGTCTACCCTCTCTCATGAGGTCTCAGTGACTAGTCAGTGTTCAAGTCTACCAAAGTTCACCCTGAGGAGCCAATGAGCTTGTTAGGCCTACTTACAGAGTAAAGATTACAAGTTAGTGACAGAAATGTGAGGAATGTGAAAGAAACTATGCTGCATTTTGTTTCTTTTTTCTCTTTTGACAGTTTTATGCTTGAATCCAATGTAATTTTATCGAATTCACTATTTTCACTATTTCACTATTTCACTCCTCACTATTTTCTCTCTTTTCCACCCAACTCTTGCTTATTCTTCCCAATAATTTCTTCTCTTACACATTAATTCTAGTATTTGAAGTCTTAGCTAGAGCTGTAATATAAAAGGAAGAAATAAAATGGATAAAATAGGAAAGAAAAAAGTCAAAGTTTGCTTACTTTCAGATGACATTTTTCTGTATATAAGAGACACAAAACATCTCAACAGAAAACTTCCAGAAGAGGTAACTATTATCACAATGAAAAAACACATAATTAACAAACAAAAATCAGTAGTGAAAAAGGAAGCGTAGTCAGAAAGAAAGTGGAAAACATATCATTCAAAATAGCCTCAAAAACTTAAAAATCTTATAATAAACTTACCAGAAAAGTTACTACAGTGGAAACATTAAAACACTGAGGACAGAAATTTAAGAAGACAATAGAAGATTGAAAGGACCCCCATACCCATAAATTGAAAAAAAAAAAAAAATGTGAAAACAGCCATCCTGCCAAAGCAAGTGCCTATGTTAAAGTAGAGAAAGTGGTATCTTTTTCCCTTTTGTTTTGGTGGGATCTCTAAATACTACTAGTTAATTTAATTATACACAATATTCCCCCAAAGAGTCAGGTGTTCAGGTCCTATTTTTCATTAAACCCTCTTAGTGGTAGATGCCAAGGCTATTACATCAGCAGTCACAGAATTAACTTTTCTTAACTATAACTTGGCAAGCTGATGTCACTGTTGGGATGTTTCCTTGGAAATAAAGCCTGGATATTCAGGTAGACCAACAGCAACGCAACAGCTGCCAGCCACAGCTGTTTGCTCCCTTCATGGTTCCCCTTCAGAGCTCAAAGATGGATCTTCCATCTGGAACGAATGGTAACACTCTCACCTAAAGTGTGCAGTAAAGCACACAAGATGCTTTGGCCACACTGGTGTTCTGACTGATTGGTGATGTTTGGTTTTTAAATTGTCCTGATAAACTGGTACAACTGTAAAGAAGACTGCTCATAGCTCTCCATCTCTACTCATCACTAGGTCTAAAAAAACGACAAGACATGCTGCTCTTATAGGACATCTTCAGTCCACCGGACACCATCCTAGGAAATCTTACTGCAGAATTATTTACATAGTGAAAAAAGGACTATAGTAAAAATACAAAACTATGATTTTGCTGTGACTTATGACAAACTGTGAACCAGCTCTCGAGGGAATTTCAAGATCTTCCACTTTCTTCACAGAAAAAAGTCAGTGCACACACAGTTTTCTGACTATCCAACTTCAACTAAGTCCTTCCCTCTACTGGAAGATAGTTTTCATTATACTCAAACTACAGGACAGAAAATCCAGGTATTTTTGAAGGGACTGAGAGCATCAGAAAGCACTCAGGTGAGTTTTATAGATATTTGCATTTTATTCTCATTTTGCCCTTACTCATCATCTCCTACATTTTCCTGAAATGTACTTTAGTGCTCCATATATTTTGATATTTCTTTAGTTTATCTTATGTGTGTGAGTGTTTTGTCTGCACATATGTATTCAGCATGTGAATGCCTCTGGTGAACTTGGAGGTCAGAAGAATGTATCAGATTTCCTAGAAATGGAGTTATAGGTGCTGGGGTCCAAGCCCAGGTCCTCTACAAGAGTGACAAGTGCTATTAACTGCTGATCCATCTCTCCCTACCATATTTCTGACATCAGTTATTTCATGTCATTGGACATTACATTTTCAAAGCATTTTTCCTGTGAGTTCACAGAAGTAGAAGGAAAATGCTGAGAGGAGGGAAGGGTTAGTTAAAATGTATCCCCATTCTAGGAGAAGGAAACAAAGTCTTTGCTTCAGAACAAATTTCACATGATTAATTTCAAATCAGCCCCTGGCCCTTCAAGTGTCCATTTTAAAACAAGGAAAATAGCTGTAAGGCATTAACTAAATAATTGAAATAGTTCTCTGTAGCAAAAACTGTGAAATGCATGTTCTAAGAAAAATGATAACCTGTAAAATTAATCCATAGTTCCATAAAGATGTTACTGTAAATACTAACAAAACACTAGTCTGGTTATTTTTCAGGTATTAATCAAAAGACCTCTGTCCAAAAAGTATCTTGTTTGCCACAATTCTGTTTTGTTAGAGCCTCAGTTGACGGTACCGTTAATTTTTATGTTGACATGGACAGCAGAAGTGGGAGTTTTTTGCATAAGGCTGGCATGGTGGGTGACAGGGAGTGTTAGAAACTGCTGACAGTGGAAGCAAAGTTTCCCCTGAGCAGTATGGGGAAGACTCATGTGTCCAGCAGAGTCTGACCTGAGGAAAGTTAGAAGGCAGACAGCACAGGATGAGGGGTCCAGGGACAAAGAGAGACAGGCTCCCAGGGTGAGCCACCACTGGAAAGCTGCAGACAAAGGTGGCATGAGGAGGCAAGCCTTAAAAATGGGGCTCCCTAAAGATCACACCCCAAACTGACTCAGGACACCTAAGAGAAGAAAGGTCATAAAGACACCTCTGCTTAACTTCTCCACCACAGATATTCAGAGTGATGGCAAGGTGGATGAAGCCTGGGGCAGGAGAGCTGAACTCTAGACCCAGCTGTGACTCCAATTATGTGTAACCTTGAGCCTAGTGCTTTACCTCTGTATGCCTCATTTTTGCCATTTGGAAAATGAAAAAAAAAATGTAAATTCTCAGCTCCCTTCGAGAACTAAAACCCTGTGACTCTTATACAGAGCATAAAAATATTATAAAAGCAGGAGTCGGGGTGGAGAGAGGTCTCAGCAATTAAGAGCACTCTCTGCTCTTGCAGAGGACCCAAAGTCTGTTGCTAGTACCCACATGGAAGCTCACAATCATCTATAACTCCAGTTCCAGAAGAATCTGAAGCCCACTTGTGGCTTCCATGGGCACCAGGCATGCACAGGGTGTACATGAATATGTGTGAGCAAAACAAGATAGATAGATTGATGATAGGCAGATAGATAGATAGACAGATGATAGATAGACAGACAGACAGACAGACAGACAGATAGATAGACAGATGATAAATAGATAGATAGATAGATAGATAGATAGATAGATAGATAGATAGATAGATAATGCAAACATACATACACACATAAAATCTTTTAAAATAGCAATATTGCATGGATCAGAGGAAAGCTAATGTAAAAGAAAATAAAACAGCTTCCTTGAATTTACTTGTAGACCAGTAAATCAATCAACAGAATGAGAATCTGAAGATCTGGAGATGATCTAGTCAACTCACAGATGTTGCTAAGCCTAGACCTTGACCTCTAGGTTAAAGGCTACTAGGGTTTTGTGCAGCCTTCTCTAAAGAGGTGCTCAACAAACCTCACAGCTACATTGCCATCTGTCCAGCAGCATGGTGAGCTGCTGTAGCCTTCTGAGACTGACATTATGGAAATTAAGCTCAGCACCCGGGGAAAGCCACCAGGAGATAAGGGTTTTAGTCTAGTGAAAAGTACAATCAATGGAACAACAAGGGAAGCTATATTCAAAGGCCAAGTTTATGGACCTTACACAAAGTCCCTATTCAGAGTATGGAGAACTTTAGTCCATAACCCAAGCTGGGTGTGATGGCACACACCAGCAAACTCAGCACTTGGAGACAGAAGGATCAGGAGTTCAAAGACATCCTCAGCTGCCTAGCAAGACTGGGCTATTTGAGACTTGTAAATCTAAACCTGATGCATTGCTACAGTAAGGGAGAAACACCTTGTTTGGACTCTTCACCCCCTTCTTCAAGGGGATTTTAATTTCCTGGTAAATCAAGGTTCACTGTTGCATTATTCTCATGGTGTGGGGTTAGCATCTAGTGAAGATGATGAAACATGATTTGTTTTTAGGAAACACAAGACAGGGCTGTAGCTCAGAGTTAAAGCAAGCACTTAATATGTGTGAGCTGCCATCAAATCCCCAGCACCAAGGGAGGAGGGAGGGAGGGAACAGAAAATAAACATAAGATATTCGACCCACAACTTCTAGATGAAGTCATAAATGACCAAGAAATTAAGTGACCAAATGGTTGACACAAACGTTAAGTGTTACATTTGTTTCACATTTTTTTCTTTAATTTTGACAGAGATCTGAAAGAATGGAAAAGGCTGTCTTTGTCAACCAAACTTCAGTCATGTTTTTTCGGCTGAGAGGTTTATCTGTAAATCCAAAGGTACAGATGGTTGTGTTTTTCATGTTCCTCATTTTCTACGTCCTCACACTGATTGGTAACATCCTCATTGTCATAACTATCATATTTGACCGCCGGCTCCATACACCCATGTATTTCTTCCTCAGCAATCTGTCCTTCATTGATGTCTGCCATTCCACCGTCACTGTCCCAAAGATGCTGAGAGACACCTTGTTAGAAGAAAAGCTCATCGCTTTTGATGCCTGTGTGGTCCAGATATTCTTCCTGCATCTCTTTGCCTGCACGGAGATCTTCCTGCTTACAGTCATGGCCTATGATCGGTATGTGGCCATTTGTAAACCCCTGCAGTATATGACTGTGATGAACTGGAAGGTGTGTATGATTCTGGGAGGGGCCATGTGGACAGCAGGGACCATCCACTCCATATCTTTCACCTCACTCACCATCAATCTTCCCTACTGTGGTCCTAATGAGATTGACAATTTCTTCTGTGATGTACCTCAGGTAATCGAACTGGCTTGCACAGACACCTACATCACTGAGATTCTCATTGTCTCCAACAGTGGTATGATCTCTATGGTATGCTTTGTGATTATTGTAGTGTCCTACGCAGTCATTCTCGTGAGTCTAAGGCAACAGATCTCTGAGGGGAAGAGAAAAGCCCTGTCCACCTGCGCAGCCCACCTCACCGTGGTCACACTGTTCCTGGGACACTGTATCTTCATCTACTCACGCCCATCCATCAGCCTCCCCGAAGACAAAATTGTTTCTGCATTTTTCACTGTTGTTACCCCTCTGCTGAACCCTATAATCTACACCCTTAGGAATGAGGACATAAAGAGCGCCTTGAAAAAGTTAATCAGGAGGAAAGAAATAAAGGAAAAGTGAAAATACTAAGTAATCCCTTAGAATTCTTGGTGATCTAAATCCAAGAAGCAACTATATATTGTATTTACCAGATGATATGACTTACAACATTTTCTTTGCAATATCTAGGCCCTATATCTAACAATCACAATAAAGTCTGTGATTGGTAACATCTTCCACTTCTAGAAATTGTCACAGGCACTGGACACTTACCTAACTCTCTCAACAGCAGTAGATTACATGCTCGTCTAAACAAGGGAACAAAAGCTCACACTGAGCAGATAGCATGCTGAAAGTCACCCTGCTTATAAAGCCGTGACTCAAAAGGTCCAGAATGTAGCTAGTGCAGAATGTGTATTTGGTATAGAGAAGGCCCTGGGTTCAATTCCCTTCAGAAAAAAAAAAAGAGTCACAAGATTGGATTTCAAATCAAATCAACTATTGCTGGAAGAACTGGGGGAAAATACCAACTTGAATTCATTATCTCATTCTGCTGCTCCAGCTTTCCAATTAACCAGAAATGTAAACAACACTTCAGTTTCTGGACTGCCCTCTTCTGCATTATTCATTCTGGTGTTTGCCTAGAGGACTTCCCAAGTTCTGGTAAATGAAACAAAGGACATTTGACTATCACTGGTGACAAAGAGAGACTTTGAACCATTGAGGTGACTAATGCTCTTGAGAGTTCATCCAAATCTGCCATCCTAGTAATGAAGTGGGAATATTTTATTGTTTTTTTTTTATTTTACAAATACTTCCTGAGCACAAAATTTGTGCAGGATAGTAGATTTATTGTTACAAGTACAACTAATACATAGACACTCCTACTTGGAGTACACAGTCTAGTATAAAGAAAAAGCAAAACTGAGAGCATCTAAATGTAGTTACAGATTCAGCAAATGCTGTCAAAGAATAGAACACCGTGAACATGCAGGGGAGGTGGGCCCTACACTGAGCGGTCCAGAGAAAGCTCTCTGAGGAAGTCACATTTTAGCTAGTTACGAAATATGAAAAGGAGCCAACCATGAAAAAGAAAACTAGAAAACACTCCAAAAAGAGAAAACTGTGGGTTCAAAGGCATTTGTTGAGAGAGATAGCTTGTTCCAAGAAGTTGCAACCACTGTGCTTAGAGCCTAGATAAGAGGTCATGCTGGAAGAAAGGGAGCATTGGAGAAGTGAAAAACATCTTTCTGTGTTCACTTAAGGAGTTTAGAGTCTTTTCCATAAAAAAAGAGAGGCTGCTAGAATGGAGCTAGCAGAGAAATGATATTGGTTTGTGTTAGATTAAATAGATTGTGTTGTTGTTTTTGAGATAGGCTCTCATGTAGCTCAGCCTGGTCTTAAACTCCTGATGCTCTTAACTCTAAGTCCCAGGCACTGGAGTGACAGACATGAGCTGCCATGCCTGACTTGGTCTATTTATTATGTAGAGAATGAACCCACTTAAGCAATTATTACTACACTACTAGTCATCACTTGAATTTTGCTTCAAGTACTAGAAGAGAATATCCATTTGAGTACATGTTCTATATCCAGCCCCTTTAATTTACTTGGGGTGGCCTACACCACAGCAAAGTGGCTTGTGACAAATGGAACTGGCAAAAAATAATGTGTCTCATATATATATTTATGAAACAGAAAGTGGCTGTGCATGGTGGCACCAGCTGTCATCCCAGCACTTGGGAGGTAGAGGGAGGAAGATCAGGACTTCAGGATCTGCCTCAGCTATTTGTTGAGTTTAAGGTTGGTCTGGGTGACATAAGAACCTGCATTTACAAAGAAGCATGACATATTGGGAATCAGACATTCACTGTGACTCCATCAGTGACCGTCACACTGCAGTTCATCTGGGATCTCCAGAGCCATAAGCTATCAGCCATCAGTGAGGATGCCATCCATAAATTCCTGGGCCAAACCAAGTGTCTCTTAATGCTTTAGTTTTTGTTTTCTTTTATTTGGTTTTGTTGTTTTTGTTTTTGTTTGCCAACAAATATGTTAGGAGGTGATTCAAGCTTTTAAAGCTATACATACATTAGGGGCCTTTTTAAGGTAGTACACATTAAGTTTTCACAGACAGGTCAGATCATCAATACCATGCTTACTTTCCCCAAATATAGCATGGATATGGATTTTATTATTTTATTTTATGTTTATTATTTTATTGTTTATTATATTATTGTTATCTTATATTAATGTATTGTGTATTGTTGGTATCTTATATATTCATATATTGATTTATTTTATTATTATTTTATTTATTTTATTATTATTTCCCCTGGATAGCATTAAACCATATTTGGTGTTCTGCCCGGTACAGTAACTGAGCCAAGTTTTAAAATCATAGAGTTTGTATAAAACAAATGTCTTTTTCTTGTAGACAATGATAGACATGAGAATGGCTGTCCAAAGAGCACAGCAGAGCCCCTGGGTGCAGGGATCAGCAGAGGAACGCATGCTGTTTGGTAGAAAAAGTAACATCACACAATGTTGCATAGAGGTCACTAAGGCTGTCACCTGGGAATGGCCATGACTGTTTGCAATTGTGTTACGCTTCACAACTCTCTGGAAATGTAAAATAAAACATTTACTCTCCATTTCACATAAATTATTTCAGACTCAGGCAAAATATAAAAGTGTGTTTACTTACTTGGTGAAGAATAAAATTAAAGTATCTTGAATTTTGAAGGGGGGGTTGTGGTTTTGATTTGGTTTGGTTTGGTTTTGGGGTCTTTTGGGAGGCAGCTTGGGTTTTGCTTTGTTTTTTGTTTTTTGGGTTTGTTTGTTTTTTGTTTTTGTTTTTGTTTTTGAGATAGGATCTCCTGTAGCCCAGGCTATCCTCAAATGCATTATATATCTCTGACTAGCCTTGAATTCATTATCGCCCGCCCTCACCTCCCAGGCTTTATGCTTACAAACATGTGACATCTTGAATAGCTCAAAAGACCTTGACTCTTGTTCAGCTGCTTTTCCTTCAACCACTGAATTTCTCAAGCAGTGACAACATTATATGTATTAGAATAACTGATTGCTTATCTTTTTTATTTATCTTTTTTATTTATCTTTCTTTCTTTCATATTTCTTTATTAAGAAATTTTCTACTCACTCCACATACTATCCACAGATCCCCCCTCCTCCCTCCTCTCACCCCCCAGCCTTCTTTTCCAAGCCACCCCACATCCCCACATCCTCCAAATCAAGGTCTCCCATGGGGAGTCAGCAGAGCCCAGCAGGGCTGGAGGGATAGCTCAGCTGTTAAAGGCTAGGCTCACAACCAAAAATATAAGAATAACTGATGTTTTAATGTTTCTACAAAGTAAATAAGCAAATAAGGTGTTAGAGACTTATTGCTATACAACAGATACCAATGGGTCTGAATATCAATGTATGCAAATGTACACAATATAAAGTATAATCAGATTATTGTTTTCTAAATTCTTAAATATGAGTTTAATAGTGTGATGATATATTGTGTACCCTAATAAACTTGCCTGAGGATTAGAGGATAGAGCTAGCCACTAGATTAGACACAGAGCCAGGTGTGGTGGCACACACCTTTAATCCCAGCACTTGAGATCTCATGCCTTTGCTTGGGAAGCACACCGGCCTTTAATCCCAGGAAGTAATATGGCAGGGCAGAGAAAGTTATATAAGGCTTGAGGAAACAGGAACTCACTCTCTTTAGGCTGAGGACTTCATAGAGCTAAGAACTAGTGACTGGCTGCTCTGCTTCTCTGATCATTCAGCTTTCACCCTGCTATCTGGCTCTGGATTTTTTATTAAAAGACTATCTAAGATTGAAACAACAAATAGTGATTTCCAGACTTTCTTCCATCACCCTATATCACATAAGACTTTTATTTTGGCTTATGTTTTATAAGAGGACTAAGGAGTGGACAATATTTTATATGTTTTCATCAACTAGAGAGTGATGGTTTTCATATCTTTTTTTTTTTTTTTCCAGACAGGGTTTCTCAGTGTAGCTTTGCGCCTTTCCTGGAACTCACTTGGTAGCCCAGGCTGGCCTCGAACTCACAGAGATCCGCCTGGCTCTGCCTCCCGAGTGCTGGGATTAAAGGTGTGCGCCACCACCGCCCGGCAGTTTTCATATCTTAATACTGTTGTGAACAGCTCCTGGTTGACTTAAAAGGACTGAATCTTGGCCCTGTCACTTCAATCATTTTTTGCCTTTTTGTTGCAGCTGGTGGGCCATTCATTTGTACCCTGTATATCTGTGATGTGCCCACACCCACACTGTCTGGTGTCTATAATTCCCCGGAATACACTTGGGTATCATTTCTGCAAGTTAACAAAATTTCAGTTAATATCATTGGATTCGAAATTCCTTTCAAAATAGGCAAAATTCTCCACAGGAGCCTCAAACTTCTGACCTTGTATTTCAAAAGCATCATTAAGCCTAGTCTACAATAATAGGTCAGTGAGTTCAAACAGTCAGACTCTGAAATTGTGCAAATCTAAGCTCCCCTCTTAACTATTTTTATTGACTTTTCCAAAACAAACTTTAAAATGCTACTGGAAATGTTACCCAAAATGCTGTTTGTATTCTTTTTTAATATTTCAGATATTTTTTTAATTGTCCAAAAGAAAGCAGGCAGACACCAGGTTTCTATTTCAGTTGTATGTGTTAACTTCCCAGTTTAACTTGCATTTTCTGACATATAGCCATATGAATTTGAGGTCAATTTTCTGAAAATGCACTAAAACTGCTTGCCTGTAACTTTTTAAAATCCTGATGAAAGAACACTACAAACATACCACTATTGAGGCAAAACAGGAACAAAGCTCAAAAACACCAGACAAAAACCAAGTAAGAGTAAAAAATGCCCATTTTATCAATCCGTTGCTCCAAGCTGTAGCCCAGGATGGCCTGCGGGAATTGCGGGCCTGCGTTATCACATCCAGCTTCTCCTCTCTTTCAAATATTTATATGCCCTCAGTGTGTCTGAGTTTAAACTCTTCCAGTGTTAAATGGAAGGCTGATGTGGATGGAGTTATTGTCACAGGCGTCTAGGACAGAGGTATAAGGCAGGCAAATAGCATCACTGGGTACTGGCCATGCACACACTCTAGATAGACCAGACTACCCAGGCTGGCTGGGCTCAGAGGCTGACCTGGACCTTGTAGGTCATTCTTACTTATTGGGTCCTATTTTGTCCCATATCTGCTTATTCCACTATTTTGTAATTAGAACAAGGTGAGAGATTCAGTTAGTCTAAGAATGCTTAGCCAAACCTCAAACTGTCATACTCAAATACTTTTATCCTTCTGAACATACACCTAATTTCTACCTATAGTTATTTTAAAGATACGCAATAAGTGAGCTGAGAAGACAGGTGGGGCATGGGGCTAAGGATTGTCACCACCCTTGGACATGGCTCTGGTGAGTGAGTTGCTCAATGGTGGTGGACAGGACCATCTAGTGAGTTTTCTCCAGGAAGGCCTTGTAGCACCTGAGGCATTGCTGGTACATCACTTCGAAGTCAGAATCATTGCCATAATAGGGATCTTCAATAATGAGTTGTTTCTGTGGATCATAGCTCCCAGGTAGCTCAATTTTAGCTTTGCAGTTTTTAACTTGTTTACTTCTTCTATTCAAATCTCTCACATTGCTTTTATTTATACATACTTTATAATCGAATGTGGCAAAGTCTTCTCTTGTAATCTGCCATGCAATGTGATTCACGGGGATGCCATGTTTTCTCATGCAGCTCTGCCCACAATAGTCAGGGGGGTTCCCCACTTCATAGGTAGAGGTAGCTGCACTGTCTATCCTCCAATTATCTGAAACTTTTCATCAGTTACCAATTTTCTGAAAACTGCTTCTGCAGTGGATGACTGGCAAATGTCTTGGACCCAACCTATGTCATCTTCCAGTACAGATGCTGATGCCCAGAGACCATTGGTTGTATTCTTATGGTAATTGCTTGCATTGTTTGTACTGGTGTTATAACCAACTACCACAACCCAGTGCTTTAAACATGATAAACATTGCTTTGCAGTTCTGTAGTTCAGACATTCAACACACACCACCCTGGCCTAGCACAAGGTGTCAGCAGGATGGCACACTTTCTGAAAGCTCAGATTCCTTTTCCAACTTCTAGGGGCCATTTGCTTTCCAGGGCTGGTGGTCCCTTCATCTTCCAAGTCAACGATGTTGCTCCTCCTGGTATCTTTCCTAGTTGCATTGATCATCTTAGGACAAAAAGCCATTTTGGTATAAGGTCAAAATAAGTTGTTTCTATTTGCTACAAAATTCAAGTTTGACTCACACATACTCTACCCTAATAAAATAATCTTATTTCTGTCATGGAGCCAAGATGATTTTTCAGATAATCTAATCTGCTATCTGCCTCTGCAAATTTTGCTTGCAAAATTCTTATGTTATAAAATCTTCAGTTTATACTTTTTCCCTATAAAAGGAGGCCTGAAAAGTTAACCCACCCTGCTCTCTCAAATCCCACTTTGGAGAGTCAGTCCTATGCATAGTAAATAGAGATTGCTTAATTGACTTTAATTTGGTGGTAGTTTTTGTTTTCCATCTGCAGGATCAACATTTGGAAGGCCCCAGCAAGATCCCTGGGAGATCCCAGACTCAGGGCCAGGGTTCTGGGATAAGCCTCAAAGGAAGAAAGTTAAATTAACCACAAATTAAAGTTTGCTAATAGGGGATAAGCCCCAGAGAAAACAAGTCCAAAGTGGACTTGATAAACTGTCTTAGTTAGGGTTTTATTGCTGTGAAGAGACACTATGACCATGGCAACTCTTATAAAGGTAAATATTTAATTGGGGCTGGCTTACAGTTCAGAGATTTAATCCACTATTGTCATGGAGAGAAGTATGGCAGCATGCAGGCAGACATGGTGCTGGAGAGGTAGCTGAGAGTTCTACATCTAGATCTGAAGGTAGCAG